AATTTAATGGAAAATTCGTCTCTATAAAATATTTTTTTTAAATACAGTTAAAAAGATTTTTGATTACGATTGAATTATTACAAAAGGCTTTGTTCGACGCTCGTTTGATACGAGATAAAGAATAACTCGAGACATAAACAACGGCAGCACGGCGCCTGATATTTTTTTGAAATAACCATTTCTGGAATGTGCAATATTTATATTTTAGATTTTATCTCACCTTGAAAAAAGATAAATGGATGAATCGTGATTGAAAAAATGCCTTACCTAATACTATATACAAATACTCTGATGGACAAAATTAACGCAGCCCCTTAAATTTTAATGTATTTAGGTTTATTCATATTTTGCTTACAAAAAATAGGTTTGGTTTTTAAAACACATTTAAAAAGAAAATATTTATTGAGTAAAGAACAACAAAAAAATGTAAACAAATCCTCTTTCATATCGCGTATGCTACCTCTGGCACGAATCACGTCCGTTAAATGCCATTGCATCCCATGGAAAAGATCTCTGATAAAATCCTGAGGAATTTTCTCCCATTCATCAAGAACAGCCGGTCTCTCTCGTTGAACTCTTCTAGGGTGTTAGGACCTGGGTTTTCAGGACCTACTGATCGCTTAAGATGGTGCCAAATGTGTTCGATTGGGACCAAATCTGGACTTCCAGCTGGCCTCACCAAACACTCAATTCCAACCTCATTCAGGTAGGCATCCACAATGCGTGTCCTATGGGTCATTATCCTGCGTTAACAAGGACCTCTCACCGATGGCGAATGGCACAGCATGTTCTTTGATTATGTCTTGTAAGTACATCTGTGAAAGTTAGAGATTTTCCTCGCACAACTACCAATTCGATGAGGCGTCCAAATGCTCCAACCCAGAACATCAATGACCCACCTTGGAATGCCACCCGAGGAACCAGCCTTACTGTCTTGGAGGAAATCGATACATAACTTACTTGTCTTATCAGATTTCCGATCTCATTTCCCGTAATGCTGCGGTTTCGTCAACCCTGATGAACAGCCGTTTCCAACTCTTCTAGGTTGTTAGTGCCTGGGTTTCGCCTTCGTACTCGTCGCTGAAGTTGGTTCCAAATGTGTTCCATTGGGTTTCGATGGGCACTACTAAAAGGCAACAAAAAACCTTCGAAAAACCAAACATAAATCAACAACAAATGGACTACGTAGAACATACGCAGGAAAAGAAAGACAAACTGTTCAACAAGCAAACCCAGACTAAAAACTGCACTAAGAATCAACTACAACACAGGTAAATTTCTAAAAATAAACATTGACACAGTTGGACGACTAGACAGTAACACCAGATGTCAATGCGGAGACACACAGATTGGACAGACTGGAATGAAATTAAGATATCACTTCAAAGAACATCGTAGATCCTTCAGAGACAACGACAACGAAAAATCAAATTACGCCACACGCTTAATACACCGATGGAGAAAATAAACGTACGACCCTTAAACTTGCATGTATTCAGGATTATTCATAATTTGTCTACATATCGCTTAGGTTGGTCCCAAATGTATTTGGTTAGGTTCAAATCTGGACTTTGAGCTAGTCACACCAGCAGTCAATTCCAAATTCAATCAGGTAGTCATCCACAATAAGTACTCTATGGGGGCCTGGCGTTATCCTGCTTTAGGAAGAATCTCTCACCGATGTGGGGGCAAATGGCACAACATGTTCTTTATGTCTTGTAAGTACATCTGTGAAAGTTAGAGATTTTCCTCGCACAACTACCAATTCGATGCGGCGTCCATGTTGTCCATGCCACCCCAGAACATCAATGACCCACCTTGGAATGCCACCCGAGGAACCATACAGCATGGGGTTATCTTCCTCGTGAGCCAATCTATATAAAATTACTCCCATCTGAAGGTTTGAGTCCAACTATCACCTCATCTGTAAAAATAACTCGTTCCCAACCTTCCGTGCTAATTGAGGCCTGGCTGACCTGTTGTAGAAGAGGTCTACCAGCCTGGTGCCGGGCCTTGTGGTTATTTTCATTGAGCCTTTTTCTCAGTCTTGGAGGAAATCGAAACATATTTTACTTGTCTTATCAGATTTCTTATCTCATTTCCCCTAATTTCTAGATTGGGGTCGATGGAGTACTTTTATAAATATTCCGCCATCGATCCCAAACACATACTCATACGCTCTGAACGTTCGAGGGGCGATCATGTTATATTTCACCCTCACCCCTCGCCATTCATGCTAATAAATACATGCACTTAGACAAAACATATAGATACACAACACATAAGGACATATTATATACAATAAAAAAAAACAATTTCCCCTAAAAAGCGGAACAGGGGACCCAATTGTGTCCAACCCAACCCAAAATTGCTTGTTTCCGGCTCACCACTTGCTATTGTAGAGTGATTTACATTCATTCTATTCTCTACTAACTTGTAAGATATGGCATACCGGAAAATTTGTACCAGTTATCGAAAAACTATTTCAAAGACAGTATGACTACAATAAGAATCCATTATGATGAAACTTGCCGCTCAAAAAGGATGTCGTCAAGGATTTTGTTGTGGCCCTGACTATAGGAAAATAATGTACAATTCCCTCAGGGAAGTTGTTTTTTGTACAAAATTAGAACTTTTCTCGCAAACAACGTACTGATTGGGGGGGACCGCGGTAGCCGAGTGGTTAGCATGAGAGACTCTCACGCCGCGGTCGTGGGTTCGATTCCCACCGTTGCCCCTGGCCCTTTTTTCCCAATAACCCCCCAAATTTNAAAAAAAAAAAAAAAAAAAAAAAAAAAAAAAAAAAAAGAAAAAAAGCTTTTAACTGAAAAATGGTCCCTCAAAAATTAGATGCAATTAAACACTGAAAAATCAGTAAATTTACTTGTAGAAAAAGAAAAAGGTGACCTATTGAAGTCTTCCTCCTGGGAACACAGATGTCAGAATTTCAGGAAATTAAAATATTAGGGGTTTGGCTCGATCAACTGCCTGACTCACACTTTTGCTAAATCGTTCAAATTTGATTGGGGTCCGGCGAAAGGAAATAATCTATAAAGGTGCCATTGAACCTGACTTGACCTATGAGGCTCCAGTGTGGGGGGAGGCATTAAATACGTTATATAATGTAAAGTATCTGCTAATTCCACCCCCAATAGAAATTAAGATAAAATAATCACTCCGTAAAAGTAACAGCTAATAGCACCTATTCCCAATAAGAACTCGGTTTGGATCTTCCGCTTAAACTATGGAAACAGCTCAAACTGAATATGACCCAGGAGACAGTACAAACAGTTTCTGATTCGAAGAGTACACCGATGGAAGCCGAATTTGAGGTTTGGTAGGATTTGAAACAAACATTTATCCAGAAGGGAAGCAAATTCATACAATTAAACGCAGGATGGCATCTTGGTGCTTAAACAATCGAGCAGAACTTTTGGCAATTGATCAAACATTAGAATGGTTTTTTAATTGTAATATTCAGGAGAATAAATCGCCATTAATCAATACTTATAGTGCGTACTCTTTATCTACGAAAAGCACGCTCCGACAATTGAGCGATTAAGGAAAAATCTGTGGGGCTTAAGGAAAAGTAGGCAATGGAATATAACGTTAAGATGATTAGAGTCATTAAATTCACTAGTTCGTGGTCCGCATGACCAATTAATATCTTACAATTAATTAAGGTTTTCAGTTGAGATAAAAAAGTCAATGCGCGCGAGCGGGATTGAAAAATGGCAAAAAGGAGGGAAAATTCAAAAGGTGGGGTTGAGATGGGAAGTTAGTGTCCGAGTGGATCGAGGTCACGATAGCTCAAGAGAGCAGCGGCGTATCTAGCCGAAGATCGTGGTTCGAATCCCGCTCGTGCCATTGACTTTTTTTATCTCAACTAAAAACCTTAATTAATTGTAATNAGGAAACGATGTCAGTCTTGATGTGTCCAATCTTGGACATTTTTTACATTTAATTTCATCCTCTGAAACCTTTTTTTTCTTAAGACAAAAAAAAACTCTCTGGTACAAATTTGAACATGAGAAAAAAAAGATTGGGAGCAATAAAACCTGTCAGGAAACGATGTCAGTCTTGATGTGTCCAATCTTGGACATTTTTTACATTCAATTTCATCCTCTGAAACCTTTTTTTTCTTAAGACAAAAAAAACCTCTCTGGTTCAAAATTGAACATGAGAACAAAAAAAAAAAAAAAAAGATTGGGAGCAATAAAATCTGTCAGGAAACGATGTCAGTCTTGCAGTGTCCATTCTTGGACATTTTTTACATTTAATTTCATTCTCTGAAACCTTTTTTTTCTTAAGACAAAAAAAACTCTCTGGTACAAAATTGAACATAAGAACAAAAAAAGATTGGGAGCAGTAAAATCTGCCAGGAAACGATGTCAAGCTTGCTGTCTTCATTCTTGGACATTTTTTACATTTAATTTCATTTTTTTGAACCGTAAGAACAAAAAAAGATTGGGAGCAGTAACATCTGAAACGATGTCAGGCTTGCAGTCGCCATTCTTTGACATTTTTTACATTTAATTTCGTTTTTTGAACCATAAGAACAAAAAAAGTGTGGGAGCAGTAAAATCTGAAACGATGTTACAGTCTTCATTCTTGGACATATTTTACATTTAATTTCATCTTCTGAAACCTTTTTTTCTTAAGACAAAAAAACTTTCTGGTACATAATTGAACATGAGAACAAAAAAAAGATTGGGAGCAATCAAATCTGCCAGGAAACGATCATATTCTTGGACATTTTGAAAAAAGAATCTCGGTAAGAAAACGCCAAAGACTTATCAGACAGTTTGTAAGAGGTGGAAGGGTTTGTTTTTTCGATTTGCCGGACGGCCAGATCCATTTTGGAGATAACGTGGTAGGAAGCCAATCAATTGAAATTTTGTGGATGACGTGGGGTTCCGTTGGTGTGCATCGCGCTGGTGGGAGTCGTCCAAGACTTGGAGGGGAACCCAATCGCACGGCCTTTATAAAATGGTCCACGTTTTGATAAATCGACCCACTTCTCGACTGGCACTCATCGCTTCCCCAGGTCACTGCAGTCAGGTCAGTTGCTCATTTCAACATTTGGCTGTATATACATAATAATAGAATATTGCTAATAATAATAATAATAAATTCACTTTCTACGCCTTTTTACATACTTAAAATCATGGGATAAAGACCGATTATCGGACGAACATCTGGCTTTTTTCCTATTTTATTTTTTAACTTTTTTTCAAAATAACTTTTTCACATCAAATTAACTCTTTTTAATTTTTAATTGGCTTAATCTGAACGATTTGAATTTAATTTCAAATAAAGTCTTTTTAATTTCAAATTAAACCTTTCGTTATAACGGAGAGGGGCGTCGGTGGCCGCAAAGGTTGCGATGACACGGAGCTCATCACTGTAAGGTAAAGGTCCCGGGTTCGAATCCAGCGGCCCTGCATCCGAACCCGACACTTACATATGGATTTTTTCTCAAAAACCGACACTCCGAGGGTTTATACGACCTCTGCTATTCCCAACACTCGTAAAAAAAGTGTATTATTAGTAATTACGATTAGCTTCATCACATATTTTTAAGTTGGTTCGTTTTTGATCGTCCTTATCTGCCTATCCTCTCTGTTTTGCTCTATTTGACTCTATATGTCTTTTCGTCATCATCAGTCAGTTTGTCAACACTCTTAACATATCATCACTGCAAAACGGTTTGACATGAACTTTGCTATTGCGAACATTAGTAAAGCCTTCGGTTGGAAAAAAACAAAACATAGGAGATGAAGTTTAATTTTGTATGAAATGTAAGCATGTAAAATAAAATTTCCTTTATATTTCAGAATTTTTGTTTAATATAAAATAATTGGGCTCTTAGAAGACAATATTATAATTAATTACAATTAAAATTTAAAATTATATCAATATAATTATCAAAACGAAGGATTCTTTTTCTAAATTGAGATTTTTTTAAAATAAAATAATTATAGCTTTAGACTTTTTCTTTTGTTTTTTCTGTATAGTTTTTTAAATTTAAATATTAAATAATTAGGTTCTGAAAAATCATATGAAAATTAAGTAGAATCGTTAATAAGTAGAATTAAGTAGGTTTTTTCGAAAAATAATACAGGTTTATGGTTATAATATAAAAACAATTAAATAAATGGTTTTAAACATTTTTTTGGGGGGCGTCGGTGGCTGCAAGGTTTAGTCTTTGACACGGCGCTCATCACTGTAAGGTAAAGGTCCCGGGTTCGAATCCAGCAGCCCTGCATTCGAACCTGTCATACTTACAAATGGGCTTTTTTTTCAAAAACATCGGCACCCCGAGGGTTTATATAACCTCGTAGTTGTGAAATACCCTCGTTAAAAAATAATAATAACAAAAAAAATCCTACATTATATATTAATTGTAATTCTTTTATTTTCATTTGGTCATCTAAAAGCCCAATTATTTTATATTAAAAAAAAACTCGAATTGTTAATTTGGCGTGAAAATAGTCTCGATATCCTCAGTTTTATGTCATAATAGACCAATTATTCTATGTTTTAAAATATCGCAAATATACATCGTTTTATTTAAATTTCTATAATTTTTAGTTTTAGTTGTAATCAATTTTCATTTCGTGTTCTATGAGTCAAATGATTTTTTATTAAAAAAAAAAAAAAAAAAAAAGTATTAAGGAATTTACATGCATCTATTTCGTACCAGTTTTTCATACAAACTTTTTCAATACTTTAAAGAAAGTGTTACTTTGAAATTAAAAAAGTTTAATTTTGAATTTGAAATATTAAAAACAGCCCTGCATTCGAACCCGACATACTTACAAATGGGCTTTTTTTTAAAAAAACACCGGCACCCTGAGGGTTTATATGACCTCTGCTGTTGCGAACCCTCTTAAAAAAAATAAATAAACCTAATGAGATCAGCCAATGCCCGAAAAGCATTAGCACGTCAAAATGTTTTATCCAAATTAGCCGGTGAATATATTCAAAACGTGGGAAAACATAGCAATCTAACATTATATTGGATCCCAGAGTACAAAAGAATTTTGGGTAATTGATAAGTGGACAAATTTGGCACAGGAAGAAGAAGAAAAACAAAAAAATAATTTATTCTGAGACAGGACTGCCCCGTTGGAAAAATACATATGTTAAATTAAAAGTTAATAACATTTTGAAACAAAAATAAACCTGACAAAAAGTCAGCGTCACGAGCGGGATTCGAACCCACGACCTTCGGCTAAATACGCCGCTGCTCTAACCTCTTGAGCTATCGTGACTTTGATCCACTCGGACACTAACTTCCCATCTCAACCTCACCTTTTGAATTTTCCCTCCTTTTTTGCCATTTTTCAACTTTCGACTCTTTTATCTCAACCAATGCCTTACTTAAAGATTAATTAATTGAAAAGAATTTATTTGGTCAATCGGACCACGAAACCTAATCGATTTAACGAAAATGTCTGCCGTGATGATCAAGCTAATAACAATGACCTTACAAAAAAAAAAAAAAAAATCCAAAGGGGTTAAAACTGTAATGTGTTACTCTGAAAATTAACACAGAAAATAATAATTACTGAGTAAATTATTATTTTCTATATTTCATACCAGTTTTTCATACAAACTTTTTCAATACTTTAAAGAAAGTGTTACTTTGAAATTAAAAAGGTTTAATTTTGAATTTGAAGTATTAAAAACAGCCCTGCATTCGAACCCGACATACTTACAAATCTGCTGTTGCAAACCCTCGTTAAAAAAAAAAAAAAAAAAAAAAAAAAAAAAAAAAAAAAAAAAAAAAAAAAAAAAAAAAAAAAAAACCTCCATCACTCTCAATACACTTCTCCTAACTTGATGGCGACTATACCCTCTGAATAGCATTTTAAGTCTTTATTATTAAGTAATTCTATAAACGCATTTTCTAGAGACTTTTGATCCATACATTTTTTATGTTGTAAAATGTTGTCCAGGTGGTTGAAAAAATGGTAGTTGGTAGACAAGAGGTCTGGAGAATAGCGAGGCTGAGGCAGAAATTCATAACCAAGATGCAACCGTTTTCATGTTGTCATATGTGAGACATGGGACGGAGCGTTGTCATACAACAGAATCGGGCTTTTCCGATTGACCAATTTCTGGTGCATTGCTTCAGGTTGAGAGCAATATATTTCGGCAATGATTGTTTTCCCAGGATTCAAGAAGTTGTAGTAAATCAGCCCAAACGAAGCCAACGAAAGATTCACCATCACCTTTTTTTGACGAGTGTGTGGATCTGAAAAATGTGGTGCCGGTTCTCCTTTGTCGAGCCACTGTCCAGAACGTCTAGTGTTATCGTAGAGAACCCACTTGTATCACAAATAACAATTCTACCCGGAAAAGGTTCGTTTCTGTTTCGGCAAAAAGTGTTGCTTAAACTTTATAATAGTGAATTAATTTGGCTGTCGTTTCATGAATGAGGAACTCAACTTTCGAGTTTTTTCCCCTTTCCAATGGCCTGATTAACTGTCGTTACTGTTATGACAGAAAGATTCTCTGCAAGTTTTCGAACAGTTGTTCTCGGATTTTCATCGATCAAAGCTCGTATAACATCATCATCTAGGGAAGAAATCCTTCCAAGACCTTTTTCGTCTTCAAATAATAGTCTCCCTCTCGAAATTTTTGAAACCATCTCTGAACTTTCCCACAGTCCCACTCATGTGCCATCGCCCCAGACTTCATTAATCCTTCGATGTAAACAGTTATATTATAGAGGGTAATTGAAAGAAACAACCCAATAGGTGGAATTTGGAACTATAAATTGAGACTAATTTCAACTTACTGCACCAAAATGGTTGGTTAGCTACACAGAGTGCTTTAAAACTGGTTCAATCCAAATTTAAAATTTTTGGGAATCTGTAAATAATACTAAACCTATGCCTTAAATGTTTAGATACCTTACTTTTTTCCAACTAATAATAAAAAAATCTAAATCGTAATGAATGCTTCTAAAACGTTTTCGTGTCTCCTGTAAAAATTATGAAAATGGATTGAGCCGGTTTTGAAACTAATCGCCTCCAGTGCGGTAAATAAATTTTCGACCTGTGCATGCCAAGTCCGTGGAGTGAACGTGATCATTTTCTTGACTTTACGTCTGCTCTTTTAATCGAATTTTCCATTATGGAAAGCGGAAAGAAACCCTTGAACTTGCACGATATTTTCTGTTCAAATACCCAGTACAGATGATTTTCTTTCAAAACAGAAACGAGAAGGATGAGTGAATAACAAAAGATTCTTATTGCAGATTGCGACAGTTTCGCGCGAGATATTTTTTTTATCGAATTTTAAGCTGATCGGTAAAATTTGTTGTAATAAAAAGTTTCGGTCCCACCGAGATTCGAACTCGGATCGCTGGATTCAGAGTCCAGAGTGATAACCATTACACCATGGGGCCTCATGGTTGAAAATGTATCATAGCAATATATATTTTTATTTATCATATGTTCATGTTTTTATTCGGGCACATCGAAAATTAATTTAAAAATTCTTCGCTTGACTGTACTTTTGCCGGGCTTAAGCTGGGAACACGCTTACCCGATGCAACGCTATGCGACGCTACCCGAAGCAAATCCAAAGACCATTTTTCCGTAAGATTGTATTGCCCCCGTGCACATCTGCCCGATGCCACGCAACGCTACCCAACTCTACGCTCTGCGATCCCCACGTATGAAATATATTTTAACGTGTGGTGTTTAGTGACCGTTAGTTAATGATTATTTGGAGATCGTGATATGGGGTCTAGTGTGACATAGGTTTGGAAAAACATTTTCTTTATCGTGCCAACGTTTCGATCTTTATTGAGATCATCTTCAGGGCCTGGGATTTATAAACATTGTACATACAAATAAATGTAGGATGTGAAAAAAGTGAATTTATACAATGGTAGAAATTTTAGACTCAATCGAAGAATTTGTACTCTCTCAAAGTTTTTCTTTTCTGTGTAGATGTGTCATTACTGTGTTTTGAGAGTGCCAGTGAGAAATTGATATTTTATATTTATATATGTAGGATTCTGAATGGCTGGAGAAGGAAGT